AAAAAAAAAAAAAAAAAAAAAAAAAAAAAAAAAAAAAAAAAAAAAACAGTTACAGTTTAATTCACTTTATTTTTCTGCGCATTTTTGGAACAAAAGAAAAATAAAAAAAAAAAATGCATCATATTGCTGGCATAAAGTTATATTTACCCCATTGAAGAAAAATTCGGCTCGGTGAAAACACATGCGTATATTTTTGCAAAAATTTCCACCGTTGGAAATGAATTTTTTTTCCAAATCAAATTCCGCACGGCTGTTGGAGCAAACTGTGTGAAGTTTACGTGCCTGCTGGAAATTGCGTGAACTCAGGGGATGATTGTGATGTGCACATTTATAAAATGAAAAGAATTCACATAAAATATGTGAATTCCGCCAATTGTCAGAATTATTTGTTTTTCTCAATTGTGTCAACCGTTTGTGTGAATTTTTTTTATTAATCTAGAGGATTTGCGCACATGAATTTCACGTGTGAATCAACCTCGCCATACTATCACGCGAATGACTCGCATGACACACCCGCGCTGACGCCGCGCATCATTCTCTCGAACAAAAATGAATAACGCAAACATCTATTCTCCACTGTACAGCTCATATGAAAACATTAACATATACAAACAGAACAAGCACCTGGGACATGAAGATTTCGACACTTCTACGGCCAACATATCGTGCGATTCTAGGGGAAGAATACTGATAAAAGGTAAAACTCGGATGTGATTTCCGCAACGCTTTTGTGTACGTCTGCATATGCACACCTGTATGTTTACACCTTATGCGTGTAACAGGCGGATGGGGAGCAGTTTTCTGAAGAGCAGCCTTAAATTTTTGCTTTTAAATCTGTCCAGTGAGCCCAAGCGTCGGCATATATGTGTATGCATGTATTATACATATGGAGCATATGCGGATGTAGCGTATATGTATGCATAAGCGTAGTGTCTACTTCTTTAAGTCACATTTAATCATTTGTCCTTTGTTTTCTTCTCTTTTCTTTTTCGACAACACTCCTATTTTTGATGCGCGTTCCATTAATGTAAAACCAGTTTATTCCCCTTGCCCATGCCAACACCCAACGGTGTTAACATACATTTTATATATTTCATGAGCGCATGAATATACACACACGCATACATGCGCAAGTTTGCCAACAGGATACCACTTAGGTTAACTAATACGTGCATTATTTTATTTTTTTGTTTGTTGCATTAAATGTTATACCTTTGGGAATTATTTTTTATTACACGACATGGTTGCAAAGTGAGACATTTGTGTTACACAAATATGTTTTTTTTTTTTTTTTTTTCCTGTTTTTGTGCTTACTTAGAATTTTTCATGAGCATATTCCCCCATGGGGTAATCTTCATTTTATGGCTAGTACATAAAGTGACAATTTAATTGTGTCCCCTTTTAGCGTCCGTCTTGTTTCCTTATGTGTCCATTCAAAAAATGTGACTTCGTGTATGTGTTTGTACATTTTGGACGAAATGACAGAACGTGCGCTGTTTCGCTTTTGAGGCGATAAGAGATTGTTTGTTCTGTCATGTATACTCGCCCTACATACCCTGTGTTATGTTCACTCTTGTTTATTATCGAATTCATATAATTACAATTTTTTTTGATCGTGCGGGAAGTGTCCAAATCGCGCCCTGTGATATAAATTGCGTCTCTTCGCGAATGGCTGTTCAAAGAAGCCCCCCAAATCGCAAGTAGAAGTCCACTTATATCATGGCATTTGCTATCTCTGGGCAATATGTCACCTATACATGTACTTCAGCGTGCTCTCCAATATCCTCACCTGCACACTCTGTGCATACGCCACACGTAAACAAACATTGCCTTGTATATGTAAAGACCCACGTATTCCTTTTTTTTTTTTTTTTTTTACCTCTCTACAGATATCGAAAATGATAATACAAACATTCGAGCAAAGAATAGCGGAATGGCCAATGCGACACATGGTATGAAAAGTACGAACAAACATGAAAAGCGACAAGTCATTCCTGCTGTCCATATGAGGGCGAAATCTCAATTTCCTTTCACAAATAACCAATATGGAAAAAATTCAATTAATGATAATAGCATACCAACGAAGAAATATTTGCATCCTATTTCCGGGCTGCGATATGGAAGCGTTTTCAGGTCCAAGGACAGCAACAACATGAACGGTATCCACAATGGTTACCTAAAAGAGGGCATCTTGAACAACAAGATCAATTATAGTGGCGGCAATTACTCCGCCAACTACCCTGCAAACTACATCACCATTCCGCATGCACAGCGTGCATCCTCTCCGAACGGACTGCATAACATGCCCAACTATGGCCCCCAAAGTATAGCGAACAACTTTTCCTCCTACCAAATGCACGACACAAAAGAAGATAAAAATATATTTAATCAGTTTAACAAAAATATATACGAGCACTATAGCAGGATAGTTCTAGATCAGTACAACAGACAAGTGCAAAATCATCGTAACGGAATGTACCCACATGGAAAATTTTCATCATATGATAAGAACTCTTACCCAGCTGGCCATAGCCATCACCATAATCATGCCTCGTTTTCAAACGCACGTGAAGCAATTAACTTTTACAGCAATAATAATAGTAAGCTGAAAAGCTATGTGCTGTATGGTAATAAAGACTTACAAAATGGCAGTGACATACATAACGGTTCATTCATTTTAGGTAGAGGCACACAGAAGAACGCCACCCTACATATGTTAAATCCGACACAGAACATAAAAGATGGGTCAAGAAAAAATATTTTTAAAATTTTTAACAGAAAAAAAGAACCCAATAAGAATTTAACTCCTTCCGTTAATTCCTATGACCATCTGCCAAATATCCAAATAGGACAAAGAAGAAGTTTATCATCCATAAACAGAACAAACTTAAGTTCTACTTCCTTCAGAAGAAAAGTAAACAACCCTGAAACGTCAAGTTGGAAAAGGGAACCAAATAGTAATAACACCTTGAAACAAATTTACAATTTTATTTTTCCATCCAGTGCTAATAAATCACAAAATAGTTTTGATACCAAAAGTGAAGTGAATAAATTTGCCACCTCTCCAAGGGATTCCTCACTTAATGAACCCTATCCTAGATGTAGTAATGCTTATCTGATGCATAATAACTCTGATCAAAATAGAGTATTTAATAATGTAGGATATAACGTATCAAGTGTACATAACGATAATATCATTCACGATTTTAGCAAATGGAACTACAATACTAACAGTGCCAATGCCATTCCGAACAGCAATTTTGCTTCTGCCAAAAATCCAGATCATTTGAAGTACAACTCTCCTGCATTTATCCCAGGAGCCGGGAACGAACTAATGTCGCTACGACGAAATGATGAATTTGCTAAAATATATTCTGCGCATACTGGAGGAGGGCCCAATGGAAACCCTCGAATCAGTGTCGTTTCGCAAAAGAATCCCCATCAGGACGACCGGCACAGGTACCACGAAAAGATGGTCACCAATATATATCAGTTCACGGGTGGTGTCGCGCACAAAGAGGGTAATCATAAAATTGGGGAAGATCCAAAGGGGGCTCCAAAAAGTTGCACAAATAACCGCACTCGTAATTGCACTGATAATGATCCACAAGGAAAAGCCCATGGAAAGGCAACGTTACCAGAAGGCGAGCCCATTCAGGCCCCCCATGGCGGGCAGGTTCTCCATTTTGACATATCCAAGGACAGTGCACAAAGCGGAGATCCCACAAATGTGGCCGTCGGCAGTAAGCAACATCAGTGGGAAAAAAATACTGCAGTCGAATTAGCCAAAAATAAAAACGCAATAAATGAACAGAACCAACTTAGTTCAACGAAGGTTATCCAAGCGCACAGTCACTCCAACATGGCAATTGTAAAAAACAAACCCCCCAAAGGCGAATCGATAATGGGAACTGATAATAATGTGGCGTACGGCGCCAGTGATATGACCGAAAAAGTAAACCATGTGTTCAACGAACAGATGAATAATGTATACAGAAAATCTATGGCAACGGATAATAACTCTATACAAATTGTGAGTGACCATGAAACAAATAGCACCAAGCAGAATATATACAACTACAGCACAGTCATACAAAACAACTTCATTAACAGCTCAGAAAAAATGTCCAAAATTTTAGTAGGAATAAAAAATGAAAATGGAACGCAAAACAAAAATGATGTTAACCTAAAGTTTGTGAATGTGAACAAGTACATAAATAACATATTCAAAACGAGCAACAATAATTATCACTACACAGATAATAAAGAAGGTGTAATTATTGGCCAGAACGCACAGGGCAACAACAGTTCCAAAATCAATCCTTTCGACCAAATGGACATTAAACAGAATACTAAATTGGGGATGTCAAACCAGGATGCTTTAAAAACCTACCAATATTTCAACCCTAGTGATGACCACCTAACGAACAACGTACATCGCTTACGGGAACTTGAAAAAAAACATGGAGTTATAATTAACCCTAACTTATGCGCAAATGATGACATCAGCGGTATTAACGAGAACGCGAAAAATTTAGCGAGGCAATGCATTTTGAATAAATTTCTCTATGAGCAGAAAACACAGCAAAGCGGAGTGAATGGTAGAAAGAATAGCATTACCAACACCATGAACCATTTTATGCACAAGAATGAAAAAGGATTCGAATCTCCTCCATTGCCAAATGATAAACAAAACCCAATTGTTAAACTGCTAAACAGAGGTAACCGAGAAGGGCCAAATGTTGAGTGTAAGATAAATCTAATTGATGGAAACGCACACATCGTTAGTATGATGAAAAAATTGCACAATGTAAGAAGCGAAAATGAGTTGCCACATAATGCTATAGATAACCTGGGGCATATAAAGCTTGCCCACCTTTCCAGCTTAACCAAAAATGAAATGAATAAATTTGCCGTGGGTAATAACAATGATAATCATAATCAGTACATACAATCCATCGACGCCATGGATGACAATGCAAATGCACATGTAAATGTTAAAACGAACTATCACGACATCGCTTCCACGAAGAGGCATGCCAAGCAGGAAGAACATCACAAGGAAGGAACCGAACATGTTGCCTCCCAATATGCAGATGCACATAACATATCACTTAAAAAGGAAAAAAAAAAAAAATCAGGAAAAAAAAAAAAAAGTCCAAAAAATGTGCATTACGATATTGATCAAATATTGCAAATAAAGTCCAAGGTCTATGAAGAATTAAACACATGCCTAAAATGCATTAACAGTTTAACCAAAAATAAAAAATTATTTGAACAGTTAAAAAAGTATAAAAATAAGCTCGATAAGAAAGCCCGAATGGAGGAAGGCACCTCTGAGCGAAGTCGCTCGTACCAAGGCGAATCCTACTATACGATGAAAAATTCCTACCTCTCATCCTTCCTCTGCAATGAGAACACAAGCGCTGACGCGCAGGGGGTTCAAAGTGCACCCGATGTTCCTAGTGGAGTCTGCATAACCAGTGATGACTATGTGGACAGCGCAAAGCAACCACCCAAACTGCAACCAGACAACGGCATTTCAAACGACACGAGAAAAAACGCCAAAGTTACCGTTCCCCCCAGTGGCGAGAAGAGCGAACTGATAAAAAAGATGAACCAAACCATTTTTCCTGCCGTTCCCCTCGGAGTTGACAACAGTAAAAATTTAACAATGAATAAAGCTTGCCCGAATCAGTTCCAAGATAAACAAATACGAGCAAATGATCTTGGAAAGAAAAAAGATAATGTGCATTTTAATTTGTGCGATAAAAACGTATTCGAAAAGGAAAAACAAAAAAAATATTCCTGCATCAAGAGTGAAGAAAGCAGATATTCCCTGTACGAGGAAGAAACCCCCAACGTAGGCAAGAGGAAGGCTCTCCTCGTTACCCTAAATTATAATGGCCTTCTGGAAGGATGTGTACATGACACCTTGGAAATGTGCGAACATTTAGTAGAAACTTTCAAATTCAATGAATTGATACTCTTAAATGATTGCAACATTTGCTATCGAAACTTCGTTGCACAAAAGGCTAACAAAAATAACATCATGAATAACCTCTACGAATTTATTGTCAATTCAAATAATGGAGACATTTTATTTTTTTATTTCTGTGGATATTCCATTAAAATAATTGATTCAAAATTTCCACAGTACAATAACTTTGCGTTATTGCCAGAGGATTACTCGAAAAATAATTATATCTATTCAAATGAAGTATTTAATATAATTAAAAAATTACAAGGAGGGAAGCAACTGTGCATAGTTTTTGACACCACCTATACCTCCTATTTTGTCCCTACCTGCACCACCATCACGTATAATAAGAGTATTAACTCCAGTGAAATTTCAAAAAATACTTATTTAGTAAACACGAATAAGAAGCACGTCTATTCGCTCAGAACCTTTGGCAGGATGAGAGATCGACATGTTGATCCAATTTACGTTGAAAATTTGAAGATGCCCCTGTCCCACGATTTGTATAAACAGGAGGAGGAGAAGATGCAAAATGCAAAGGATGTTCTTGTCCCCTCCATCTTTTTCTTCTCCCCTGATGTGAGAGACCGAGGAGACTTTGAGTTCGTCATCAGTAATAGGGTCAGAGGTAGGTGCTAGCCGCGCAGAATAACGCACAATCATATATGCGCATTTGAGCATAGGATGTGATCGTGCGCATACCTGTAAGCTGGGCCAAATGTGCATAAACGGCATGCACAAATTAGTACATACATACAATAATTACTTATTCACGCACCACCACCGCCCCGCAGGCCTCTTAACCTACTGCATCGGAAATGCAATTTGCTTGTTGAAGAAAGATTTCTCCTACCACGACCTATTCATCGCTGCGTCCCAAGTTCTAGTCAACATCAAGAAGGAGTACAAATTCAAATACGTAAAGTTTAAGTTGTCCTTCCTAAATGACCACTCCCCGGATGATATAAAATTCTTATCACACGAAAGTCTGCTCCTTAGGAAAAAAGGAAAACCGGAAGAAGAGCCCCTCTGGAAACCCTCCTTACGATTAAACAACCTTAATGAATACATGAAGGACATTTGCAAAATGAAGGAGAAAAAAAGTCAGGTCAGTTTTTCCCAAAAGTGCTTGCTGATCTTCATAAAGGATATAAAATTCTGCGCTCACGTCAAGCTGGATCCCTCCATTGAGTACTTCGTCAGCTGCTTTGTCAAAACCAAGGGTATGAACATTCTGTACGTCAGGTAAGTCTCTACTCAGCTTCGGCAGCGTTCGGCAAGATCATGTGTGAGAAGCCGTACACCCACACGCATGTTGCTCCGCTCATGCTGCTACACGCACGTGTTTTTGCCCCCCTCTGCAGGAGAAACAACTCCAAGTGCCAGAAAATCGTCAGGGACAAAATTTTCTTCCTGGAATATATTATCCTGAATGTGTCCGACCTGGTAACCTTGCAGGAAAATTAGGAGGCCGACTGCGCATCCGTTGCCGCGCCCGAGAAAAAAACAAAAAGTGAAGCCCCTCAGGCAAAACGTGAGAAATAACTAACCCCCTTTTTTGCATATTCCTTACCCGCAGGAAAATGCCAAAATCTACGTGGAACTGTTCAAAAAGAAGAAGAAAAACTACTTCCTCGCCAGGAGCGTATTACGGATAAGGTAACTACGGGAAGCGGTTCCCGCGTCACATGCACATATAAGTGTACCCGTATGTGTATATGCACATGAAACGAACAAAACGGTAGATTCATACCCATTCTTATCCCCCTCCCCCATATAGCAACACAAACGGAAATTTCTCCCTAATGGATGAAAAGGTAATTAAAACAAAAAAAAAAAAAAAAAAAAAACAGCGCCTTTGGAATGTCCTTTATTTT